GCCACTTGGCTGCCAAGTGGGCATGCCCATAGTTCAAAGAGATGACTGGCTGACGGGTTTTCTTCTTCCATCAGCCAATCACCACATTGATCCACCAGCTTGGCCGATCCGCTTGGTGAGCCCCCCCCCCCTTATATCAACCCTCATATTTCTAAAGAGGTGACAAGCTGACGGTCAGCCCATCACCAACCAAATTGTAGATTGACCTCACCAGTTGGTGAGTCCCCCCTCAACCTGCCCCTTTTTGCCCACTTGGCTGCCCAGTGGGCATTTCTGTGTAATTGTTATGTTGAGCTGACACCTCTTTATTCTGTCAAACCCCCACAGGTGCCTCAATATATATTTCTCCTCTTATATGTAAACTGTTTCTAATTATTGATACACACAGTGGTGAGCAATGCAATTCTTCATCCCATAAGGTTCATTGGCCCCCCAGGTTTGATTGAGATAATCCAGAGGTGCTGTAAGATGGCGGATTTGGGCGTACTAGTCCAATCCCCCTCTTATTGTGGGGTGGTTCTCCTTTTGGCGTACAGACAAAAGGTGAATCATCCCTACCAAAGGACATATCATCAACCTTGATTGTGGGAGGCCAAAAATGACAAAACCAAGTGCTGCCTGATAATCCTGAGGTGCTGTAAGATGGGAAATTTGGGCGTACTAGTCCAATTCCCTCTTATTGTGGTGTGGTTCTCCTTTTGGAGTACAGACAAAAGGAGTATCATCCCTACCAATGGAATTTTTATTGACCTGATTATTGAGAGCCCATGCTGACTAAACTGGTTCTAAATGTTCTTCATTCACCACAGTTCTCAAAATGAGGTGAATAGAATATGGCGACAAAGACATCAAGACTGTCATGCGACAAACAAACAAGTGGTTACTTGACTTGCACAAGGATAGCCATGTGGAAACTGTAGACTTCGATGTCCTGGCGGTTTTCATTATGCAGGAGACTGATGCCAAAATGCATATTCGCGATCTGGTGGCACTATCATCGAAACTTTTGCTGGCT